CAGGGAGGCCACTCACGCCAATGGTGGGAAGGGTCAAGCCACTGGGAAGGGGGAACCCGTGCGCTCCGCCCCCCCCCCCCCGCCCACTCGGGGCCAGGGAGGCCACACTGATAGCTTCCTGTGTGACCTGATTTTCCAGGTAAGGTCAGCCCACCAACACCAGTGCCTTCACCTCTGGCCCCAGAGATGCCCCAGCTCATAGAAGCCCCCAGCCCTCCCCCATTCTCTTGGCACTTTGCAGCACACCACCACCACCACCACCACCACCACCACCACCACCACCACCACCACCCACGTTCAAGACCTCCCCCAGAGCAGGAAGCCCAGCAGGACATGGGTTCAAATGTTAACAGATGCTACTTGGAGCAAAACTTGAGCCTACAATTATTTTCTTCTGCAACATCAATTGCCTAGGACAAGAAAAGGAGGGGCGTGCCTAGTGTGTGATAGAAAAGGCTCTGAAAGTCGTGAATTTTTATTTTATTTACTTTTTTAAAATTTATGTCTGTACGAGGGTGCCGGATCCCCTGGAGTTATAGACAGTTGTGAGCTGCAGTGTAGGTGCTGGGACTTGAACCCAGGTCCTCTGGAAGAGTTGATAGTGCTCTTAACCACTGGGCCATCTCTTCAGCCCCTTATTTGGTATTTTAGTGGCTTTTTGTATTTTGTTTTTTGACACAGTGTCTCCTGTAGACCAGGCTGGTCTCAAACTCATTATGTAGCTGAGGATGGCCTTGAACTCCTAATCCTCCTGCCTCTACCTTCCCAGCTTTAGGAATGACAAGCATGTGCCACCAGGCTCTGTCTATGGGGTGTTGGGGACGGACCTCTGGGCTGTGTGTGTGCTGGGCACACACCAGTGGAGCTACAAGCCCAGCCCATTTCTCTGCCTTCCCATACACACTCTCTAGAAACCCTATGTATGCATGCATCATTTATTCTACTAGGGACAAGCACCAGGCACTGCGAGCGTTCTGCCTGTGACATCCACAGCCTATCTGGGGAGCTGTGCAGATATTATTGAAACAATTACCCAAATAATTAGTGAATAATTAATTGCCACTGTGAAGTGAGCCACTATCAGGAGCCTAGATACGTAATGGAGGCTTCCAGAGACCTCCCTGGGACTTTGTTCTGACTTAAGGGAGGAGGGTCCACTAGCACCCTGAACCAGCCTTCGCCTGGAGGTGGGGTGGCTGCTCTGCTGTGGTGCCACACCCAGGATTCATGCCCTTGCCTCTCCTGGTGTCTTGCCCTGGGCCAGGAGCCCCACATGCTGCATCTTGTGGAACCCTCCAGATCCCAATGAGGTAGGTGCACTGCAATTACTCCTAGGACTCAGGGACAGAAGGATCCTGCCCCAAAGACACTGCCACACCTGAGCCAGGACTCTAATCCAGGCTGTCTACCCGGTCCACCTGCTCTGGAAGTCCATCGGACTGTCGGCATAATTTCTGACCTAAAGGCTTTTAAAATTCAACTTTTTTTGTTTCATTTTCCTGTTGTTTTCTTTCCATTTTTTAATTTATTGATTGTGTGTGTGTGTGTGTGTGTGTGTGTGTGTGTGTGCATGCGCGCGTGTGCACACCTATGTATACATTGAAAAGTAAAGTTTACTGGCTGGATATAGCTTAGGGGTAGAGTGCTTTTCTAGCATAATTGAGGCCTTAGGGTCAATCCCTAGGACTGCGGAAGGTTAGATCCTTAGTACACTGCAGTCTTCTTGGATAGATGGATGGATGGACGGACAGACGGACAGACAGACAGACATATAGATATAGATACACACAGACACACACAGACACACACAGACACAGACACACACACACACACACACACACACACACACACACACAC